TGCCACGGAGGTCAGAAGAGGGCGTCGGATTCCCCTGGAACTGGAGTTAAGGACAGTTTGTAGCTGCCATGTGGGTGCTGGGAATCAAGCCCGGGTCCTCTGCAAGAGCAGTCAGTGCTCTTAACCGCTGAGCCATCTCTCCAGCTCCAAGAGCTTTTCTTTACTCCATGTTTCTTGGTTTTTTTTCATATCATTCACAAAAATTTATACCATTCAAGTGGTTTTACTTTAGTGTCACAAGACTCCTCAGAAAAAAACTAAGATGTAAGCTTGGCTAACCATGGAGAAAAGGAGAATTCAAAATGTATACAGTCCCTGAAAAGTTCTATCATCCAGACCTTCATGGAACTTATGAAATTGTGACTAAATGAATGAATTCTCCAGTGAAACAACATTCTGTTTTTTATGTGTCTGTATGTGTGTATGCACTTGTGCATTTATGTGTGCACTTGTGTGTGGAGACCAGAAGACAACCTTGGTGTCATCCTCAGGAATATTTATCTCCTTTGATACAGGGCCTCTCTCTAGTCTGGCACTCTCCAAGCAGGTTAGGCCAGATGGCCAGTGAGCCCCAGGAATCCACCTGCCTCTGTCTTCCCAGCACTGAGATTTTTAAAGTAAATTTGAAAATATTATTTCACTGATTTATTTCAGAAGGTTGGGAAATTATTGAGCATTGTTGCATGCTGTATTAGCTACTGTTGTGTAACTGGCTAAAATACCCCACAAAAACCTTTTTATAGTTCTTTTCCTTTTTTAAATGTTTTATTAGTGTACAAAGAATCATGTTTCAAACCAAGCTTGTTTTTGTTGTTTCTCCCTATTTCCCCTTCCTCTCCATCTCTTATGCTCTCTCGTCCCTGGAGCCTTCTTTCTATTTTCATGTCACATGTGTCCTTTTGCAACCGCCCCCGCCCTCCCTTCATGGTCTCCTGATTGACCCCCCCCCAAAAAAAAAATAAATTCAAAAATGAAAGAGTTACTTTGGTGGTTTCAGAGAGTTTTAGCCCATCAGACTGCAACAGACATGCCATCGTGATTCCATCCATCCATCCTTGGCTGGCAGAAGCATGAGGCAGAAGCTGTTCATATCAGCATAGACCAGGAAGTGAACAGCCACCAGAAGTAGGAGCTAGGCTGTGACCTTCAAAGGTCCTAACTGACTGACTTTCTCCAACTGGGCCAAATGTCCTAAAGGTTCTCTGACCTGCCAGAAGAGCACCATCAGCCAGGGAGGAACACTCAAAACATAAGGCTGTGGGGGATATTTCAGTTCAGACGGGCACATGCCCAAATAATTCCATTCTGAGGGAATACTGAGGATCTAAAAATAACTCGCTTTGTAATGAGAACTGTGCTAATAGAATAGCGAATTTTTCTTTAGCTACTAAAGGCAATTTAAATTGTTGTGGGAGTTGACCTTTATCCCCACCCTTCATAGAAGGGAGCTCAGTATTTATTCACAGGTATGTACACATGAATCCAAACCTTCCCTCTGCTTTCATCAATAGGCTTATTGGGAAGTTACCGGGTATATGTGTTTGTTTGGTTGGTTGGTTTGGTTTGGGTTTTTGTTTTGTTTTGTTCTTGACAAATAGATATGTCACTGTCTTCTTCATTTCAGACAGCAGCATCAACACCATCCAATCAATGCACGTGGGAGAGTTCAACCAGAAACTGGTGGAAGCCAGCGCTCAGTTTAAAAAGAAGCAAGGAAAAGGCGCAGTTGATGTCTGGTGGTTATTTGATGATGGAGGTAAAACCCTAAAACACACTAGAGAGCAGAATTCCTGCTTTGATCAACTTAACGAACTGTATATGAAAATGGCACCAGTTAAAGGGTAACCTTTCTGAGTTATCAAATGCCACAAATTGTTCAACAATTATGTACATGGGAATAAATTAAAAAATAAAGCTTTTTTAGTTATGAATATCCATCCTGTTATAATTTACTCTTTATTCCAGGGTTAACTCTTCTTATCCCCTATATATTAACGCTCAGAAAAAAATGGAAAGACTGTAAATTAAGAATCTATGTTGGAGGGAAGATTAACCGCATTGAAGAAGAAAAAATTTCGTAAGTAGTTTGTGGCTCACCTGCTTGGTCATTTCTGAGGTCTGGCTGCTATGATGGTTCAATTTTAAGTGCTTTAAACATCCTTGAATTACAAGAGGCTTAAAGACAAAGTCACCGTGATAAACCTCATGTTTATTTGGCTTTCCGGGCAGCAAATTATTTGCATAATTTTTCTAATCACTGTCATCAAGTCTTATCCCCTGCCACTGTGCTTTCAAAGAGAAACTCCAGAATGCCATTATTTTGTATATTTATCTTGTTCTGTCTAGTAAATGCTTTCAAATGGAAGGTCCTAAAGGAATCTGTGGTATTGTTGCTTTGAGGAGAACCCAGAACTGTTAATTCATAGCAGTTACTCTTTATACAACATCTCCTAAAGACATCTAACCTACCAGACTGCCTAGGTTTTGGCCCCAGGCCTACCACCAAGGAGACACAAGACATTGCAACAGTTGCTAAACATAGCTGGGTCCCAGGTTCTCATGTACGGCTTGAAAAGTCTCAGTGGATAGATATTGAGAACACTTTTAAATAAAATAAAGGTCCCATTGTGTTTTTTTCATTAGTGTATTTTTTCATTAGTACAACCACTGAGGCCTGATGTGTAGGTGTGAGAGTAGCAAACATACAAGAACATGGTGTGGTGTGTTCATAGCTCTCTGGGGACCTGGGGCAAGCACCGTCAGCAGTTCTTGGTCCTGCATGACATACTAAAGTCCTGAGCCCTGTGACTTGCAGAAACCCCAAACTATGATAGGGCTCTTATCCTATCAGTTTTCATATTGTCTTAACCTCTAAGGAGGAAGAAATTATGGTATGCACAATACGCACTCAATAAGTATATAAATATATTTATTTACTTTCCATGAAAATAATATTATGTTCATACAATAATATTACATAGAATTAATTTTTTTTTTATCTTTTTGAGACAGGGTCTCCCTGTAGTCCCAGCTGTCCTGGAACTCACTATGTAGACCAGGCTGGCCTTGAACTCACAGAGATCCTCCTGCCTCTGCCTCCTGAGTGCTGGGATTAAAGGTGTGCACCACCACATCCAGCCAATTCTTATTTAAAAAAAAAATATTTTACCACTTTTACTTTCTGTGTATGAGTGTATTGCTGGCATGTAAGTGCACGCATGTCTCTCAATGCCCATGGAGGTCAGTAGAGGGTGTCGGATCCCCTGAAAGTGGAATCTTAGATAGATGTTTGTTAACCACCATGTGGGTGCTGGGAACCGAACCCTGGTCCTCTGCAAGAGCAGCCAGTGCTCTTACCTGCTGAGCCATCTCTCCAATTCCAAGTTAATTCCTCTTAAAGAAGACTGCCTGGCTGGCTAGATGACTGGATGAATGGGTGGATGGATGGATGGATGGATGGATGGATGGATGGATGGATGGAAGATAGATGATAGGTAGATGATAGATAGATAGATAGATAGATAGATAGATAGATAGATAGATGATAGAAGATTAGATAGATAGATAGATAGATAGATAGATGATAGATAGATGATAGATGATGATAGATGACAGATAGATAGATAGATAGATAGATAGATAGATAGATAGATGATAGTTGGATAGATGATAGATGGATGGATGGATGGATGGATAGATAGGTAGGTAGGTAGATAGATAGATAGACAGATAGATAGATAGAGAGAGAGAAAGAAAATCAAGATGGGCAAAATATTAAAAAAGGATGAGCCTAAGAGTCTTTGTACTACCCTTAAATTTTTTCTGTACCTTCAAAAATATATCAAAATCAGCCAGGCGTGGTGGCGCATGCCTGTAGTCCCAGCACTTGGGAGGCAGAGGCAGGAGGACCTCTGTGAGTTCAAGGCCAGCCTGGTCTACATAGTGAGTTCCAGGACAGCTGGGGCTACAGGGAGACCCTGTTTCAAAAAGACAAAAAAAAAAAAAAAAAAAAAAAAAAAATCAAAATCATCCATTGTCAGGAAAAAAAACCTGCACTATATAGCCACACAACATATAACTATTAGTTTGTCAGCAACTTATAAAAATGATCGATAATAAGAATTTTACTTGATATCTTTCTGATAAAGGAGAGTTTTACATTGTCTTCCTTAAAAGATGAATACACAAGTCCATTTGCTCTTCCTGGTCTCTGTACCTACAGGACTTTATTTTTATTTTGGGAGAGTTTGTTTTTATGATAAGTATCTCAGGCTGGCCTGGAACTCACTATGTAGTCTAAGTTGGTCTGTAACTCATAATCCTCCTACTCAGCTTTCCGAATGCTGAGATTATAGATGTGTGCCACCATTCTTGACTACAGGAGTTTGTTTGTTTTTCCTTCAGTGGAATAGTTTGGTCCACACTTAACTTGTCCAACAAGTACTGACTGTAATGAAAATCAAAACTAAAAAGCTTCTGTCTGAAGCATGATTGCTATTTGTATCTTAACTCAAACACAAAAATGCTCTTTTTTAAATTTTATTTTTATTTATATGTATGAGCATTTTACCCACATGTATTTAAGTGCACCCATGGGTGCAATGCCCATAGAGGCCAGAAGAAGGTTACAGATCCCCTAGAACTAGAGTTAAGGACAGTCATGAGCCATCATGTGGGTGCTAGGAACCAAGCCCAGATCTTCTGCAAGAGCAGCCAATGCTCTTATCAGCTAAAACATTTCTCCAGCCCCCACAAAAACACTTTTTATAGAAAATAGGTAAATATGCAGTGATAACATGTTTTTTTCTCTTTTTTCCAGAATGGCTTCTCTTCTGAGCAAATTTAGAATAAAATTTGCAGACATCCATATCATTGGTGACATCAACATTAAGCCGAACAAAGAGAGGTATGGAAGCATTTAATCAGGCCCGCTGACCCCCCAGCTACTCTCTTTTGTGTTGCTATCAAAGAGTGAAAACATGATGCATTTACTCTAATGGCTTCTTGATAAGTATGAAAAGAAATGCCTTTAAATAATCACAAACAGAAAGAAAGGGGTTATGGTGAAAACCCTGAGTAAGGTCCCCTACTTCAGGGCCATTTTAGCTTTCAGCTACTAAAGGCTCACTGCATAGGACATATGAACCTTTTTTCAATCCCACATTTTGGAAAAAATATATTTTATTGAATTTTTGTGGATTTCATACAATACACCTTAATCGTATTTAACCCCCACTTTCCTATCTGCACTCCCCATAGCCTACCCATAGGACTTCATGTGTTTGTCATATATGTTAAGGCCTACTGAGTCAAGTTTGTGTACCCAGATGTCCCTCAATTTGAGTTCATCCACTGGAGTCTGTTCAGCCTGTCTAGCATCATTCCCTTAAATATCAACTCTCCCACACCCAGCAGTGATCAGCTGCCAATAGCTCCTTGTAAAAGTTTTGGCCTCCTGCCCATTTCCCCAGTTCTATGCTGGTTTTTGTCTAATTGAGTTTGCGTGAGTCTTGTGCATGCTGTTTCCATTGCTATAAGTTCACATAAACAAGGTCCCAGGTACCTGTAAGACTCTGTTTCCTTATGGTCATGCACTTCCTCCCTGGCTCTTTATTCTTTCTGCTCCCTCTTCCGAAATGGTCCCTGAGCCCTGGGTGGGTGAAGTTTATCATAGGAGTCCTGTCCAGGAACCCACACTCTGTAGCTCCTTACTCTCCACACTTTGGCCATTTGTGGCCTTCTGTGTTTATCACCCTCTGTTGCATGAGGAACCTTTGCTAATGAGTTTGAGAGATGGTATTTGTATTCTTTCTATCCTCTGTTCCACTATGTTTCATGAGCCTTAGGTGTAGAGGATCCATTCTAGATGTGTCACTTAGGGTTGGGTATTTCACAGACACTTAATCTCTGTGTGTGACCAGTTGTGGATCTCTGTACTAGTCTCCATCTGTTACAGTTGAAGCTTCTTTAATAAGTGGTGACTAGCAAATTTGTCTATAAATATAAGGATCCATATTTAGCATACAGTAAGAAATCACATTTGTCTAGGAATGAGACAGATTTGGGGTTTTCTCTAACATATATTATCTCACCAGCTATGCATATTTGGCTTTGTTTGCAGTGCCACACATGAGTTTTCTCCCACTGAGTGGGCTTTAAGTCCAATTAGGTACTCCCAAGATAAAAGATAGTTTGTTGTGCTGGTCATTGTTGTGGTTGGTTTTTCTCCCTTATCAGCTTGCATAGTGTCCTCCAAAACTATGTGAGCTAGTGAACTTTTGAGAGCGCCTCTAAAGCTATCTGAAACTGGAGCCAGGCATAGTGGCACACACCTGTGATCCCAGCATTCAGGAGGCAGCGGAAAGGGGATCTCTGTGAGATCAAGGCCAGCTTGGCCTATATAGTGAGTTCCAGGCCAGCTGGGGCTACAGGGAGACCCTGTCTCAAAAAAACCAAAAGAAAAAAAAATCTGAAACTTAAAAAAGGAGATAGAGTCCCCATTCCCAGAAAAAAAGAAAAGTAACAAAATTGAAATAATCATTTACCTGTCATCAAAACATGGCATCATTTTAGCCCTTATGAAATGCTAAGTTTCTCAGCTGCCACTATTACTATCTTAGCCATTAACAGAATTCCATCAACTGGGTAACTTGATCAACAGACACTCATTTCTCAGTTCTGGAGGCTGAGTAATGGAGAATCAAGGTATGGTCTGATGCAGATGTGTTGGGGCTTGTAGATGGTCTCAAATTCTCCCAAGTTCTTGAATGATGGAGAAAGAACTCTAGTATCTCCTCCTCTTCTAATGAGGACACTAATTCTCTCATGTGGGCACCATCCTTATTTGTCTAGGGCCAAGTGCCTCCCAAAGGCCCTACCTCCCGGCAGCATCACATTGGGAGTTTAAGTTTCATTTTGTGAACTTTGATGGAAAACAAACCTTCAGTTCATAACAAGACTATGTGAAAACAATTCATAGATTATATCTTCACAGGAGATCCATAAGGTGTAAGAATTTTGCCTGGAATCACAGTCAATTATAAATTAAATGAACTACTTAGACTTATAATTTAACAATTACAAGATGTTTTCCATTGTTCAGAGGAAATCATATTTGCTATTTCATTCAGATACAATTTAACAGACTTGACATAAAATAGGCTGGGCCCTATAAGGAAAATTATACAGTATGTACATGAAGGTTTCAGAGTGCTTTAGGTCTTCCTGTCCGTTCAGACTCCTTCCTTTTATTTGACCATCAATTCTCCTTCCTCTGTCAATTTTTGGTAGGCGATATTTCTACAGTCCTCAAGTCTTCTTGCCTCTTCCCCTTATTTTATTTTATTTTTCCTATGTGAACATGATAAATAACTAAAAATATTCAGATTTAAGGTCCTCTTTTATTGACCAGATAAACTTCCATATTCTTTAGAGTATTCGTGATCTCACTAAGGCTCTGAGTCAGTAAAAAATGGCTTTACAAAACACTTGAACTTATGAGAAAACTGAAAGTGACATGTCCAACTGGGGTGTGCTTTATAATAATATTTCCCCGCATCATACATAGCTCTAATGCCTGACATTCTTACTTTTCTACAGTTACAAATACTTAAGAAAAAATAACATATTTATAATTCCCCTTGGTGAGTGGAAATACCGTTCTGATAGGAACTGGATTTTCATATGATAATCTCTTTTCAGATGAAGTTTTAGTTCACTAAGCGAACTGCCCCTTGACATCTGCAGATATGTGATCAGATCGGCTCATCCTATGGCTCTAGTTGGTAGAGCTGGATTCTCCTTCATAAGAGAGCAAGTCCAAGAGTTATTTAGCATATAATTCTTAGGGACAGGGTGACTTTTCATTGTATTTTCTGTTGACTGGAGGGTGGCCACACTCTCTCCCACTGACTTGGGGATTTCTTTAAGCTCAGTACTCACACACATTAGTCACTTCTTGTAGCTCCGTTTTTTTCTTATGTATTTATCCTAGTAGTTAAGTAATTTCTTCTTTAACTCCTTTGTCTTTTCAACTTGATTTCCTCTACCTAAGTCCCGTTTCCTTCTGTGTCATTCATCCAAGTGCCCATTCAGCTGTGTGGCCACAAGCCTGTGTTCTTGAACTCTTGAGTGCTTGTCATAGTATGGACACACTTCATCTTACCAGACCGGCCTTTGCCCCATGCTGTCCTCCTCTAAGAGCATTCCTCATTGTCGTCCTTATCTTTAAGTTTTATTTCAGATACTGTTTTAATTTGGAGTTTCTCATGTATCTTCATCTTCCTGCTACAAAGAGAATTATTTCCTTTCCTCAAGAAGCAAATTAGTTTTCAAAGTTTTAGAGATTTTCTCTCTGCTACATCAAAGTTGCAAAGAAGATATGGGGGAGGGATGGAAAGGAAGAGGGAATCCATCTTTACTGAAGTAAAAGAAGCTTGGTGTGCTAATGTACACTGCCTTAAGAAAAGACCCTCTGCCAGAATGGATGTGCAGAAGAGCCATGCTCCTCTCTTACCCTCCTGTCACACTTAGGCTGTATTACTTTGTAAATGTACCCTGCTGGCAATAGCTGATCCAGGATCTGAAAGTAGCCCAAGATTAGAACAGAAAATTGTCATTTGAGACAGGGCACCTATGGCCTCTGGTAGCATGTGTCAGACATGTTCATATTAACTTAAATAAACAATTCTTCTGGGTGGGACAATCAAACACACAGAGCTCTTCCTCTAAATTGATGCAGCCCCAGGCCCATGAGCTTGGGCTTCAACAATAGAACACTGGCCTAGTTTCGGTTCCCATGGTGGCCTTCTTGACTGGGCAGTCTTCACCACCATTAACAACTATCCCCAGCTCACTGTTTTGTCTTGGTTACTGCTCACTAGGTGACACACACATGGAAAACAGTTTCAGTGATCTGCTAATGTTATATGCCCTAAAATTGTCATTAGTAAATCTTTCAACCACTATGAAATGTTGGCTAGTTGTGACAGAGTCATTTTGTTACAAAAACCTTATCTCTAAATATGGTAGAGCAAAAGGGTGAAGTGGAGGAAAGAAAGCAGAGCTATGAGAAAATAATTGGGCCAGGAGAAACGCAAGACATCTTGCACTTAAATTCCACTTTATGGTATAGACTGAATTAAAAGTCATGGGCCAAAAGAGACAATAATCTTTATACAGAAATCAAAAAGAAAATGGGAGCAATTAACTAAACAATTTAGCTTAGAGATGCTAGATGCTAGTCACAAAAACAACCACAATGCATTACTTTGAGAGAGGAACTCTTATGCAGACAGGGGAGAGATTTTTACATTGTTAAAAATGTGTTAAACTTTGGTATAAGGAAAAGGGTACAGAAGGAAAGACAGCTATCAGTTAATTCAGAATTTTAAATTAATTCTCATTTATATTTACCATCAGGTGTTACTTGGCTTAGAGTCAATCAAAAAATACCTATAAGAAAAGTCAGGTGAATGAGGATGGCAGTAGAAACCCTGAACCACCTTAGGATCAACTGGCTCCGAGAACAGGAAAGGGCCAGCTCAGGGATGCAGTAACCAACAGGAACAGGCAAAGACAGCCTCACTACAACCCAGCGTCACTCAGCACATCTCAAATGCAGGGAAAAGAAAATTCATAGTGACTTAGATGATAGAAATTATTGTCGCACATGCCAAGATATATGGGGAAATTTCACGGGGCCCCCACCCCTAGAAAAAGAGCTATAGGCAACCAGTGGATGCTGAAGGAGAGAAAATCAGTTTTCTCTAGGGACTAGCTCCCTGAGAAATTATCTAATTCCAAGTGGGCGTCCCTAAACACAGGTAAACAGAAATACTACTAAATGGATTCAGTGCATTTTATTCATATATATGTATATATGAATATTTATAAATAGATGTGTGTATATGTAACAATAATAACCAAAGAAGAAGACAAGAAATTGAGAGGAAGTAGGGGCATGGGAAGAACTGGAGGGGAATGGGGAGGGATGGAAATAAGTCAAATATAATACTCATACATGAAATTCTCAAAAAATATTAAAAGAAAGAAATTCTTGTCACACACAATTGAATACAAGTACAGGTTGGCTTTCAGGCTAAGCTTGATCTAGAAGGTAAATTTTATAATAAAGGACTAATTCTCTTTTATTCTCTCTATTCTACCTACTCGAATAAAGTCATCGATAAATCAGAGTTCATTTAGTTTATAAAAGCAAGAAGACTGCTTTTATAACTTTTATAAACTAGGATTTCATAGTTGTTCGTATGTGTTCAGTAAGAGAAAAGTGTCTCTCCTTAGTCATTGAAGTCAGTCTAGGCTCCATTCAGGATTTACTGTCCTCCTAAGCCACTGAGCCATTTACGATGGATGTACACTGGTTCAAGCCTGCATGAGCTTTGTTTCCATCATGGCCAATTACTCCTGCAGAAGGCATCGATGCTAGGATTGGTTGATGTTGTAGATGGAGTGGTTCTCACCATGGATACTGTAGGGACAATCACCAACCTCCACTTCCCCTTCCATTTCTTAGGATATCATTTTTGTGTTGATTTTTATGTTGTGTTTTCTAACCAGGATCTAGGTGGGGTACAGAGAAACTGTTACTTTAACCACATAGACTCTAAACAGCTTTGCCATCTTGAACCTGAGTTCAGTGGTTGGTCAGCATAGAAATACCTCGCTTTCACTAGACACTGTATCCTTGTTCTCTCACAACTCCCAAGAGCCGTTGTCACTCCCTTCTACAGACCAAGTTAGCAAGACCAAGGACAATGGAAGAGCTATAGCAAGAAGCCAGGTTGTGCTGCCAGACCCTGCATCTTACTGAGCATGGCCACAGTTCTTTAAAGGGATGACACTATTGGAAGTAACAGCAAATAAAAGTATTTACTGTTGCAAAAATAATAGGACACATCGGTTCTACCGCTCACCTGTCTTCTAACTTCTACGTGAGTCACTACAGCAGAAATCCATTGCATTAAGTATCTCTTCAGCCCCTTTACATAGGCTCACTGGCAGGGGCAATTTTCCTCTTTGTAATCTCTCTGAACTTTTTTCTGCAAATCCTAAATCAGGCCAACTGATGAGATAATTAAACTCATTGTTTCTTATTTTAATTTCTTAACCTAAAAGCACATAGATTCTAATTATCATCCATTCCGAAGTTACTAAATTATAAGTAAGCTGCATTATATAAAACCAAAGAAAATTATTCATACTTGAGATCATCTTAAAATAGAACACTGAAGACAGCCCCTGCCATAAATTATAAGCTTTATTTTGTGCTATTGTTTTAAAAATAAATCTTAGATTACCTTGGAAGACAAGGGGTGAGATTCCTTTTGCAATTCTTAAAGCGCTCTGCAACTCTCAGTGCTGCCAGCTCTCTCCTCAATGATTTATTTTTAAAGGCTCCAAGATGGACTCAGATTTTTAGGCATTAAATGTTATTGATTTTTGTCCTTCCCCTTAACATGCACCTGAATAATAGTCATTTGAAAATCTCAGACAGCAACATCAAACACCAGGACAAGGATACCATCATTTTCAGCAGGCTTCATCATTCTAGAACTATTAAACTGTGGGAACCATTGCTGTTCTATCGGCCCACAGCCCCCTGGCCTGAGTGAGAATTGCTAGTTAGCTTGAAGGTGAGGAAGCCCTACCCAGCTCTCAATGAGTGTAGCTCATCCCCGATCTATAGTAACTGATGAATGAGTCTGTGTAATAAGCACATGGAAACACAGGTGTGGGCTCAAGGGCCTACATTATAAATGGGTCTGAATACAGTATGTAGAAAATGCCTCTGTGGCATAATTACCATCTATGTGCTCATGTGTTAATAATACTGAAGAGCTATACCTTGTAGGCTAACAAGGCCTCAAACACACTAAGTCCTTCAGTGGGGAAGGAGTACCATGCCCATGGTTTTATTCACAGAAGTTCCCCAGTAAGATGATTCTTAAAATATTTTCATAGCATTCATCTCTGATTCCATAGCCAGCAGAGCCAGCCCTACCCCTAGTATCTGTAAAATAATGAGTTAGTTTCCCACTGTGCGGCTTCCTTTACAATTCCAATTTCAGCTGGAAAGTCTTTGAAGAGATGATTGAACCATATCGTCTTCATGAAAGCCACAAAGATTTAACCACTGCTGAGAAATTAAAAAGAGAAACTCCGTGGAAAATTACAGATGCAGAACTAGAAACAGTCAAGGAAAAGGTAAGGACATTTCCTCCTTAATCTTTGCTTTACTCTGACTAGTTGAAAAGAGAAACAGTGGTTGATTTAAAGGTCAAGGAGTAATGCCCCTGTTACCAGCTGGCATCATTCAGTACCCCTGACTTCTGCATTTTCAGGGATTTTTCAATCATATTACTGATATAATCATTTAGAAAACTGTTTTCATTTTTTTCTAGAAAGTAAATTATTTATTATTATTATTTTGTCTTGAAACAGGGTCTCCCTGTAGCCCCAGCTGGCCTTGAACTCACAGAGATTTGCCTTCCTTTGCCTCCTGAGTGCTGGGATTAAAGGCGTGCACCACCACGCCTGGCAAAAGTAAATTATTTTTAAATTAATGAAACAAGTTATTAGTTCACATTGTGAGGTTTCCTTTCAAATATTATTTGTATTAATCTAGAATAACTTGTCACTGTGCAAGCAATGAAGGCAAAGGTAAATTAAGCCACAATTTAACACAATAACAAAAGAACGTCAACCCATTGAAGAAAGCTGTGAAAAACTAACAATTCTACAGATACATATAATGTGTTGCTTGGAACAATGAATATAGAAGCTGCGCCTGAGCCAGCTAGATGGCTCAGTAGGTCAAGGCCCTTGCCGCGTAAGCCTGAGCCCTGACATCAATCCCCAGATCCTACTGTGGTAGCAGAGAATGGACTCCTGTAAAGCTGCCCTCTGACCTCTACAAATGCAGTGCACACACACATACACACACACACACACACACACACACACACCACAATTGCACATATACATACCACACAGTTGCACACATACACTCGCTCCCACTCTTACACACACATCACATACATGCACAGCCATACACACACACCACACACGTATACATACATACACACACATGTACAGCTGCACTCACACACACATCACACACACAGATACATACATACCCACACTCACACATCACACACACACATACACCAGGACTCACACATATCACTTACATACACACATACTCACACATACATTACACACACATATATACACACAACAAATAATTTTTTTAAGTTGCATCTGACACAAATGGATTCAAAATGGTGAGTTTTCCTAGACAGTCCACTAGCCTGAATGCCAGCACTCTGGAGGCTGAGGCAAGAGGATTACAAATTCCAGGCCGGCCTGTGGGGAACAGACAACAACTAGAAGTTTCTCTCTAGCATGAACTGAAACTGAAGTGGGGGACAGTGATGATAATGAAGAGAACAAGATTTAGGTACAGAAATCAACGCTATAATTGGACATGAAAGGAAAAGCCCACACGACTCAAAATACAAAGCATGAGGAAACTACATTAGGAGCTGAGCTTGGGAAAATCAGAAGAAGAAATAGTAAACTCTCAGAGTTGGTGGAAACTACACCGAGATGGACTAATGCCCTGTGCATGTAATTAACTGCCCAGCTTCAAAAAAGACATCATGTAATTGAGCAGGTCAGACATCAGAGTCTGTTTCTGAATCAGGGAAAAACAAATCTGAACATTGTTCTCATCACTGTAGAATAATTCTCAAAGTGAATTTACTGGAGACTTTGTAGTTGAAACCAGTCCCATAGATATACTCTATCTTCTAAGGATGTGGGTTCAGCCGGCTTTTTTCAACTGAAGCCTGGCCCCCAAACTCTCCGCATATCTTTGTTTTTACTATCCTTGTTGGTCGCCTTTTACCTCTAAATTTTAATAAGCCATCATGGCACAATGACAATCTGGACTCACCTTTACATCTCTAAAATTTCTCATGAAGTTTTAAATTTAGATTCTAATAGTTTTCATTAGTGATTTTTAAAAAACAATGGTTTTGTACTTGTCTATGCTTTGAGATATGAAGATTTCTCATTCATAAATCTGGTAGAACTGCAGTCAACACAGTCTAAATGTCATCCACAGAGTTACCGCCAAGTTCGACTGAATGAGCTCTTACAGGAACACTCAAGGGCTGCCAACCTCATTGTCCTGTAAGTGTCACTGTGGGCATTAAAAGGGGTAGAGAGAAGGGTTAGGGCAATGGGCCAATCAGACTAGAATCTTCTGGTGGGAAGTTTTTAAAAGAATAATTTGAACCAAATGGAAATTTAGACAGTGAAGGAAGATAAATGTCACCCTGAGACTGTGATGCTTGAGTCCCATGAACTTTCTTGAACTTCTACTGATCATGTGATGCTCATGGGGCTGGGAGCACATGTCTACCTTGGACTGGAGCTACCCTTCTGAACCAGGCAGGCTTCAGGCGCCTAAAGGGAGGGAGCCCAAGTGGGCCACAGGGTTCACAAGCACCTTCCCTGGGTGGTGCTGCTGAGCTGTGTCCCTGGCAGACTTGTGGATTCCTTGTAGTGTGGAAACAGGTCACCAAAAATAAAAAACCAGGAGCTTTTCCATATTCACTCTTTATCCCTTTGCCTACCAATGTTAGGAGTATGCTTGCTGAAATAGTCATTTAATTAAGATTGGTGCTAAAAATGGGAAAGGTCCAACTATTTCATCTTAAAGATAATTTATCTCCCAGTATGGCATGGACTAAAGGATGATCCCTCAAAGATACTGCAGAATAGTCTTCTGAATGGGGAAGTAGGGTTTCTGAAACTTCGCCTCAATATAGATAATTTAAACTACTGTACAGAAAATCAATTTCCTCCATAGAAGGGTATTGGTTGATTAAATTCTCCATTTAAAGAAAAGTCAGAATATACAATTTTAGTTTGTCTTTATAATCTCTAAGCGAATTTTTCTGGTTTATAGCTATTTACAGTATCTGAAGAATGCACCAATTTAATTTCTCTATAAAAAATACTTACAGTGTTCTCGTTTGAAGGGTGACATATAAAAGTTCCAGGCCACTGGCTATTAATAGTTCAGAAGAGCAGATAATGTGACTGCCTGTTGTGATTTTCTCTTTGGTGTTTAATTTTCTTCCCTGTCATCAGGAGCCTTCCAGTGGCGAGGAAAGGATCTATATCGGATTTGTTGTATATGGCTTGGTTGGATATACTCACAAAGAACCTCCCTCCTGTCTTGCTGGTTAGAGGAAATCACAAAAATGTTCTGACATTTTATTCTTAAATCTGGATGATGAGAAGCATTGTAACTTGATGTTTAAATAATTAAGAAACATGTCCAGTACTCTGTGTTGTCAAATCTAATCTATGGATACATAGACCTTTGGAGACTACTCTACCAGACTCTACATAAGATTTTGTCTTTTAAAAAAATTATTATTAATGAGAGGTTTGGTGGATTTTTACTACCAGCTTAAGAAACATCAAACTAGAGCTACTCCTACAGAAACACCTTTGTCATTACTGTTGACGAACACATTAATAAAAACTAGCCAACACCACTTATGAGAAACTCTGATTCTGCTGTGAGCTCCTCCAGGCAAACTTAATCTCTGTTTTTGTGGAGTCTGCTGCTGAGCCGTGGTGTGGGCCTCAGCTCCACAGCAGGTCCTCAGTAAACGGTTATTGACAGGCAGGCACCATGGCCACAGGTGGTTATCAAAGGAAAAGACCAACTGGGTCGGCAGCATGATTTTGCCTGGCCTCCTGAGAGGCTTATGTCTACAAAGAAGATTTAAAAATCAATAACTGAAAACTTTAAGAAGGACTTGAGTCTGCAAAATGTTCAAAGCACTTACCTAAATAAGGTTTATTTAATGTAGCGCATAATATACTTAAAAGTAATCACTGGTAACACGTAGCTTGAATTTCTGCTAGCTGGAAGTATATTAACTACGTGAGAAAGTAGCATACATTCCAATTAAATAAAATATAGTCAATTCTTAGCATACAAATATTAATTGTCCTCCCTGCTAAACATTCTGTCATAGTATTATTTTTTTCTTCTCATTAAGTGGTTTGCATAGATGAAATAAAAATAAATGTCTAATTGAAAACCAAATCTCACATATTTAAAAACACTATTAAAAAAAATATCCTGAATCTACATTTAGATACATTCTATCAAGATTATATGGACTTAAAAGAATAATTAAAATGTAAATTGTAACAATTGAAAAACTTGAAGGATATAGATGTTGATTTTTTTTTTGTTAGTATGTTTCTAATACTTAATCACAGGAAAAACAACCAAAAATTGTTTTTCTGATGAGTGGCTTGAATTTTTCCTGAAATATTTTGACTTGTTCTGAGAAAATATATTGAGAAAATCAACTTGAAATAAAAACACTGAAATTTGTTTGCTTTGTCATAAGTTGTGTGTTTTACTTTTCCATCAATGAAATTAACAACTGAATTCAGTAGTACATAAAATATGAGCCTGAATATCTCAACCTGTAGCCCAGTCTACAGGTTGTTTAAAGCAGGGACTCAATATTAAGATTTCCAAGCTCAGCCTCCCCTCAGACTGACTAGAGAAAAAGCAGAGGCAACAAGCTAAGCCAGAGCATCCCCAGTCCTCATCCACTGCTGGGCATCCCCAGTCCTCATCCACTGCTGGGTATCCCCAGTCCTCATCCACTGCTGGGCATCCCTAGTCCGCATCCACTGCTGGGCATCCCAAGTCAAATATAAGACCCACACATGAATGCACAAAATAATAGTCATCTATTTCACAAAAGTGACAAGATCACACCCTGGAGGACAGAGAACATCTTCAAGAAATAGTTCTGGCAAAATTGGATCTCTATGTGTAGAAGAAGGAGATTAGATCATGGGTATGATCTTGCACAAAAATCAACTCCAAATGGGTCAAACACTTCAATGTGAAATCTGAAATGCTGAAACTTTTGAATAATACAATAAAATATAATAAAATTAATTCAGGAATGGACTTTCAAAATTTGACACCAGTCTCTCAAGATTAAAGATCAACAATTGGCAATGGGACCTCATCATACTAAAAGCCTTCTGTACAGCAATAGAAACAACCAATCCAGTGAAGAAGAAGGCAGCTGTGTGGGAGGAAATCTTCACCAGCTAGTCATCTGGCAGGGCATTAATAGCCAGCATATACAAAGAACTCCAAAACATAAGAATAAAGGAGTAAGAAAACAAATGACCCCATTAAAAAATGGACTATGGATCTGAAAGGAGCTCTCAAAAGAAGAAATAACAATGACTGAGAAACACCTTTAAAAAGTGTTCAGCGTCCTTACCATTTAGGGAAATGCAAATCACAACCACTTTCAAGCTTTCATCTAACCCCAATGAGAATGACTAAGGTTAAGAGAACAAATGACAACAAATGCTGGCAAGGGTGGGGGTAAAGAGGAACACTCATCCACTGGTGAGGGGGTTTTGAACTTGTGCAACCACTTTTGAAATAGGTATGAACTCTTAAAAAAATAAAAATAAATAGGCCAGGCATGGTGGTGCACACCTTTAGTCCCAGCACTTGGGAGGCAGAGGCAGGCGGATCTTTGTGAGTTCAAGGCCAGCCAGGTCTACATAGTGACTTCAGGTCAGCTGGGACTACAGGGAGACCCTATCTCAAAAAGACAAAAAATAAAAAAATAAAAATAAATCTTTTCTAAAAAAGAAACGATTTTTTTTTTTTTTAAATTTAAAAATCAGGGCAAATAAGGAAACCGTGCCTAGGTGACCACTTAAGGACAGAGCTAGTAAGTAGCAGGTCTTCAAGGATCCAAAGTTCTCAGTCAAAACAC